TGCATGCGAGGGCTCTTTTCTGCACTCTCTCCAGATCGACTTGTAGATATTTCGGAAGTGCATGGTGGAACACTGGGCAGGCGTAGTCTAGGCAGGACCTGATGGTTGCGCAATAGATTGCTACAAGATCGATTGTAGGTACTTTAGCCCGCTTAAGTTGAATCAAAAAATAGTGTTTTGAGTTGGATTTCTTTATTATTTCTGTAATATGGTTGTTCCAAGTTAGAGTTGAATTAATATTGAGTCCAAGAAGTTTAACACACTGCACAGATTCAATTAGTTCCCCGTCCACGTTGGTTTTTGGAAATTGGGGGTATTGAGGGCTAAAGCTGATCAACAGTTCTTTGGTTTTTGCGCAATTCAATTGAAATAGATTTTCCTCAGACCAGGACTGTACTTGGTCAACTGCACTTTGCGCGTGATTAATCTTTCCTTTCGGGACGGTTTCTGATACCGTCGTATCGTCAACGTATTTCCACAGATTAAAAATGTCGAGCGAAACTGACAAATCGTTTATCATTAAAAGGAAAAGCCAGGGGCCCAGTTTGGTTCCCTGTGGTACTCCGGCAGGCACTTTGCTCCACTCAGAGAAACAGTCATTGCCAAGTTTAACTCTCTGAGACCTATTTGAAAGGAAGTCAACTATCCAGTTAATAACGCTCTTCGGAATGTCCAGTTGATTCAGTTTTGATATTAGGATGGACTGATCTATTAGGTCAAAGGCCTTTCGGTAATCAAAAAGAAGGACCCGAACTGACGCTCCGTTTCCGTCTGTTGCTTCAAGCCAATTGTGTATCATGCTTATGAGTGCCAGTACAGTGGATGATCCAGATACCGTTCCGAACTGATTTGGGTCCGCTACTTTTCCACGGCCGGTTTGATGAAGTCAGAAACTATAAAATCCTCAGCAAGTTTTATAACGCAGGTGTAAGTGAAATTGGCCTTAGCTCCTTCTTGGGATCAGTCACTTGTTTTACCTTTGGGAGGGGTGTTATATTCGCCAATTTCCAAACTGACGGCAATTTTGTTCTTTGTAGGAAGTGTTCAAAATGTCCGTTATGGGCTGTGCTAAAATTTCGGCGTATTCCTTTAGAACCCAATTAGGTATGCCGTCCGGGCCAGGAGCTTTGTGTTTGTTGAGGCGTTTCAGATTAATGTACACTCGATGTGTTGATATTTTAGGGAATTCGGCGCCTTCTCCTGTAGGAAGGAGAACAGACGTGTTCTCACAGTTGATAAGCTGATAAGACTGGAGCGGTTCTAGAAGAGCTTCATTTATTGCACTGGCGATTTCTTGGGGGACATGTTGGTGAATTGCTGTACATCGAGGGAGGACAGTAAATTGGGGTTTTGTTTTTGGATCCACTCAGTTTATTTATCTCTTTCCACCACTGACGGGGATTCATACCTTTGAGATCTTGCACTTTTTGAAGTATAGTAGGCTGCTTTGCATAGTTTCCTTTCTCTATTGACAGCATTGCGGTAGAATCTGAAAACTGGACCCTTCTTGTTGGAATGAAATGCATTTTGACGCAAACGAATCAACTCCTTGAGTTTTATTGTCATCCAAGGGGCGTCCTTCGGGTAAACTTTAATCGACCTTTCTGGCATGATGTTATTTATGCCGTTTGTTATCAGTTCGTTGAAAATGCGGAGTTTTCCCTCACAGGAGCTTTGCATATTGATGCATGACCAGTCGACATTGCTGAGATAGCGGCCGAGACTTGTCTTCTTGCTTTCTCTCATATCCCTGATATTGATCTTTTTCCTGGTATGTTGGTTCAGTATCCTTTCCTTCGGCTTTACGATGACTGTGCTATGGTCTGACAGACCAAAGGGGAAAGCTCTCGGGCGTTGAGAAGTGATTGCCCATGTTTGTTAGTATTAGATCAAGCGTGGCCTGGCCTCTTGTGGGGAATTTAACAAGCTGCTTTAATTTAAAATGGTTCCGCAAATGGCAAATATCAAGACGGTTAAAATCGCCAGTGACAATAATTCCACAATTTGGATACAAAGATTCGGCTGATTTCAAACTGTCAAATAGATGGTTGAGCAAATTCTGACTGTCAGATTCTGCTGGACTGTTACGGCCTGGGTAGTAAACGACGGCCAGCAAGATGCAAGAAAAACCGCGGGGAGAGCGTGATGGATCTAATTTGAGCCAGATTATTTCATGGTCGTTACAGCAACGTAACTTCGGGAATTTCATATTTGACGTCCTCCTTGACATATACACAGACTCCTCCATGCTCGTGAGATGATCGGTCATTCCGTGTGATGTTATATCCTTCAATGTTTACAACTGTGTCGCTGATGTGGTCTTTCAGCCAGGTTTCTGTAATGCAGCAGACCTGAATTTTTTCCCTTAAGATTAGTTCTTCAACTTCACTCAGCTTAGGAACCAGTGACATAGTATTCGCTAACATAATGGTTGGTACGAAATGGCTGGTGTTTTGCTTTTGCATTTTGCCATTCTTTGTTGGAATTGTAATCAAATTATTGATGTTTCTTCCCGGTGCCCGTTGATAACTTCTTTGCAAGTGTCGTGTTTTCAGCGATTGATTGGATATAATTAGTGGTATTCGGTGCTTTCCTGCTCTCTTTCCACGATATCTCAGAATTCCAGCAAGTTTTAACGAGCCTAGAGCATTAGAAGGTGGCGGTATTGAGATGGTACGGCGAATATTGAGAAGATCTTGGCGTGAATAACAGAGTCTCGTGCAGTCGTTAGTATGCAAATAGGAAAGACAAACTGAATTCCCGCGAGTTTTAAAACTTGGAGGATGATTTATGGTTCCATCTGTTTGCCAGTTTCGTTGATGTAAGGAAGAGCTTGGGCCCGGGTTGGTTGCAACATCCATATACATAGTTATTTCAATCGGAGGATCGTGTCCGGGAATGCTGAGAGAAACAAAGCCATGTTTTCTCCAAGCGCAAATTGCACGGCCTGTTCGATGGAAACCGGTTGAACCGCTAATGTTGACAGACGTTAACACTTGAGATATTTGATAGGGATATTCGATTTGGTCTTGTAGTGGCAAGTCTTGCAGCTGATTAACTGGTAAAATACCAATATAAGATACTAAAAACAAGCACAAAAGTGCAGAACGAAAAAGATTCGTGGCTGCCATTTTGGCACCTGCGCGAAGGATGATGAGAGAGAATTTCTCCTTACAATATCAATACAATATAACGCATAGTAGTGATGAGAATAAAGGAAAACATCAATTAGGGGATTATTAGTTGATCCAATACCAAATTCTCCAAATTGACATCATAAGAATTGTATGTCAGACAGTAAAAAGAATTACTAATGAGATCTTCGGACGGAATTAAAGGATTCAGTAAAACATTAGGTGTGCTCGGCAATGTGCTTCAGTGCTACTGAAATAACGGTACCTTTTACTCTTCGTCTAGGTAGTTCAGCTATTCAGCGAGATATAATAAGGCACTGTTTGGATTACTTCAGAAGGCATAAACTACTCGTAAAATGAAGGTTATGACTTTCTGCCGTGCATGATAGTGGGGCAAAATTTGAAAAATCTCTTGATAAAGATCTAACCAAATTTATTTGCGAAGGCGCGATCGAAAACCTTCAAGGAAAACAATGGAGGTTTAAACCAGATGCATCATATTCTTTTCATGCTAATCCTCTCATTTTTTCAATTTAGATTTGATTAAATGTTTTTCTTTTGATTAAAGAAAACGAAGCCTTGTCCTTGTCAGAGAAAACAAGTCCCGAAGAAACGGAGAAGACGATGGCAGTGGCACTGGATCCCTATACGTGCGAAGTCGTGATCAAACGTTTGAATGTGCCAGGAGCATCTGGCAGCTGTTGAGATTAAAGGAAGTAAAGGAAAGATCTAGAATTTCATCCTTTATATTAGCTAGGAATTTTTTTTCAATTCAGGGCAGACTTTACAATACAATTCAGAAGCTTCGTCTTCACATTCTTTTTCTTTTCATCTCGTCATTTTCAGCAGAGTATGTATTCCTGACCACTAAAAATTGACGAAACAACTTTAGTTCCATGAGGAAACCTCCTCTTCCTTATCTGATGTTGCTAACTGTGGAACTTAACCTGCATGCAGTTGCCGAAATAATGTAGCGTATGTCTAAGCAATATCAGGTTGTTATATCTAAAGTTTAGGCTGCAGAACACAGTAGACATAGGTGTATTGAAAAAGTCTTTAGGCAAAATAAATCTCAAAATTTTACAATGGCCGTGCATTCGCTTTCTTTCATGTATTCTGATTTTTCTGTCAAGTTCCTTATTGTTCATTTAAGTTTCATTGAAAGCTTCTTCTGGCAATGTCCATGCTGCTGAAGAAGAATGGGAAGCGAAGGTCTTTAGTCTAGGAACTCAAACTATACTTAGGTCAGTATTTTTATTAAGACTCCTGATGTTAAAGAGTAATGACACTTAAGGATACTCACCAGTATACAACGCTAACAGCCATGTGCAATCACGTGAATTTCATATTAGTGAGTATTTCAGTTTTCAATGAGAAAATACTGTGGATTTTATCTGGCCTTATTTTTCCCTAGATTTTCACTATTTTATCACCTTGGCAGTGTTATTATAGAATCGCGGCTTCATAACAGAGAATTGGTTTCCTGTATAGCTCCATAAATGCGTCAGGTCTGCAACATTCGATTGAAAAAAGTGATATTCAGTACTTTAAACCATCAAAGATATTGCGAAGCTTAGAAAAGCTCTGTAAAAGCTTTTGTCATTTAGCAGTCGGTCAAAATTTTATGCCAAAAAAATAAAACTCAAAGTGCAAAAGCGCTATACAAGTTTTTTGTTATGAAAAGACGATAACTCTCTATCCAGCAGTTCGCTTTATAAAGATTTTACTGCTCAAAGCTTGGTAGAAAAAAATCATTTTTACCCATTACTCCGGAAAATCAGCATAGTTGCCAACGATTGGGCTCCAACCAAACTACCCAATCCAGAACTAAGGATGCTCAAAGACTTTTCAAAAGGACAAAAGACACACACACAAAAGAAATAATGGCAAATCGACATTTTGTTTTCTTCCAGCTAAAAGCAGTAAGGAAGCCCTGATGAAATCATAAACCTCTACCGTTTGTTTTTACCAAACATTTTTTCCATGCTATAGAATCATTCTATAGGCTGTTAGTTATGTCTAACCGTTCGTTTATTATTACGGAAACGTTTCGTTGACATATATTCTACAACGTAAATTATCGTAGGTAATTAATCAAAGATGAACTTCCAATATCAAATGTATATCATTATCAGGCAAGCTGACTGTTTCAAGAACTTTGCCTTTTGTCGAAGCCTAAAAGAGTTTAAGGGAACCACGTTTTTTCGTTGCCTAGCTATTTACTGAGTGTTTTCCTCGTGAGTTTACGCGCTGAATTTTGGTTTCATCAAACCTCCTAGAAAAAAGCGCCTGAAATTCCTAATTCAGAGTTGCGTCAAAACTAACAATTAAAGGAAGAATACCTGTGCATTACGTATAGACATCAGTGGTGATGCAAATGCGTAACATGCCGAATGCCTTCGGCAATACTGAAATGGTATTGATAGAGCAACTCACCGAATGTTTAGTACATAAACGTCTTTATACGGCTAGTATGTCGGCTGTTCATGTCCGCGACTGAGCAATTTTTGGCCGATAAGCGAAGCTTCGAGGATAAATTGTAAAATTTTCAAGACAATATGTCAGCCAGGGAATTTATCCCTCGAAATACCAACATGCCAAAAGTGGGTTTATTCAATTCATAACCCTCCCATTAATTTCCGTATCGCGCCTTAACAAAAATTTTGTTGATTTTTTTCAATTTTCCGGATTAGCATTTGCAATGAGCTTTTTAATATCACTACAAGTGAACTCTTCAAAATAACTTCGTTTTTCTCACATATACAATAAGAAAGATAAAAAAGTGAAACTCTAGAGCTGGCTTTTTTTCTGCTGTCTTGGTTTCTTTTCGACGGAAATGATCACGGTACAAATATCGACGTAAATGGTGGTTATTGCGTCAAAACTATCCGGTGATTTTGTACCAAGTGACGTTAAGTAGTCCATAGAGTTGCACGAAAAGTTATGGGTGGGTCGTAACTAGCAATACACTTTAACACTTGACGTTTTTCATTAAAAGAATAGAAAGATACATGTGTGTAAGAGACAGAAAAACGATCCCAGGAGGAAAAGGAAGATAACTGATTTAGTACTTCACATGGTAATAGTGTGGCCATACAAGGGATACTTGTTCATTTGACAGTGGAATAATCAGTAAAAAGCTGTCTGTGAGTCAATAAAATAAAAGTTCACTCATGCTGTTGGCGGCAAAGTTTCTCAGCTAAATCTGCACGATTGACAAACTGATGGCACAGTGCATCATGTAAGACCGTGTATGTTGCAGCTGAGCCATCCTTCTCTTTCCAATGTCGTAACATTTTGTAGATTTTTTTACGCTTTCTCCCATAGTCATCGTCAAACGCCGTTAATGTTGCTTCCTCAATTTTGAGACGACGCCCGAGTTCCTCCCAATTTTCGAGTTGGTGCGAAAGCCACTCTAATTCTTCGTCACTGGGAACTCCTTGCTTGACTAAAAACATAAAGATATCACAGAAAAGCATCAAGATGAGGGGATAGCGAGTAGTACGTATCGCAACTATTCATGCCATTTTGCTGGATCCACGCATTCTTATTTTACAAAGGCAGGGGGCGGGAAGATGGGGTTGAGGGTGCAAGATTATTGAATTGCAAGATTAGTGATATATTACCAGTGATAAATTGGGGCAAATTCGAATATGCCCCAAGTTGCTCAGCTAAATCTGTGCGATTAACCAATGGGTGACAGTGCATCATGTAGGACCGTGTATGTTGCAGCTGTGCCATTCCTCTCTTTCCAATGTAATAACATTTTGTAAATTTTTTCGGAGTATTCCACATTTTTATGGTCAAACACCATTAATCTTGCTTCCCCAATTTTGAGAAGACGCCCGAATGTCTTCCATTTTTCGAGTCGGTGCGAAAGCCACTCTAAATCTTCTTCACTAGGAACTTGGCTCCTATTTTTAAATAACGCGCAACACTCACTTATCTTTGGAAGATTAATATTGATCTTTGGTGGATTACCTCGACTGTTCCTGAAAGTGCTTGCTGCCATTCTAACTTATAACAATGGCAATCCACTTCTGTGAAAGAAAAAAATACAGAGCAATTGATAAAATACATTGAACACTCAAAGCCCTTCCGTAGAACACACACTGAGATTGTTGTCAAACTGTACATGTTGGCTGTAGATCTTAAGTGAAAGTAAAATTTGAAATGAAAAAAGGGAGGTCCCATGCTCTTTTATGAGCTGCAGTACCTTCTAGATATCCATATCATTCCTATGATATCATGACAATTGCATTTGTGCGAATTTGTAGATTAGCATTTCTGAAATTTTTACCTTTCCCTATACCAAGAATTGGTTTATAGTTGTTTGACAGAAAGAAAATAATTTCCCAGTTCCAAGAAAGAGAAAAATGTTAGTTATCCAAGCTCATTTGCGAGAAAATGACAATTTACCTCTCTGGTGAGCTCCGATGGAGAAAAAAGGCACCATTTTTGGAAGCATGCAACATGGTTATATGTGAAATTATACACAGTGAGGATGTGCAATGCAACACTAAGGAATGACCCTGAGCAAAGTATTAACATGTAATTAAATTTACAATCTTTTTGCCTGGACACAATAATTAGCCTCCAGAATATCATACCGCCCATTTTATCAAGGTTTAATACAACTGTAGGCATTAATTCGTTGCTGTATATAAGTATCATTCATTTAATTCTGGAAAGAGAATTTTTAAGATATTGACCCTAAAACATATGCATATGCACCTTGCAATACATAGAAAACTGAAAATACACATTATGTGAACAGAATGTCCAGTTGTAACCAGCTGGCTGTCAACCCTTATCAATACTACATATATGTTGCATATATTCCTTAGATAATTACATATCCAACGTATACTGTATGTCACATGTCACATATATGTCACATGTATGTACAATCATGTCACAATATTTACATATATGTCACATAAATGAAATATCTATCACATATATTTATATATATATATATATATTTATATATATATATATATAACTTGCGGCTTAAGTTATTCGCAATAGAGTTGAGCAACGAAAATCCAAAGAAACAAATTCACAATCAAAGTAAGGAGCAGAAGAGTATGATAATAAGTCACAGTTTATCTCTGAGGCTGAACATCTCCCAGCTATAGATCGAATCAAGCGGAACTCGATTATTTGGATGAAAACAATACCGGTATGCATGATGAAAATTGTGCGCTTATATTACGTACGAGTCAAATTTTATTACAATAAAGTTCGGATATAATGTGCGCTCTCATTGCTGAGCTAAAGCCGTCACGCCATCTGCCAAATTGTTATATGTCCGACCTTTTCTGGGACTTCTCCCTAGCCTCTTTTCGCTAATGGAAAGTGAAATTTCGGAACAAGCGAGTCGGCAAGTAACAACAGAAGAACCAAATTAGGATTTGTAAACAAGCCAAGCGCCGTAGTTTACGTTAGTATAAAGTGAGCAGAGACGAATATCACAAGAAGAAAATGAAATGGACAGTCCGAGTTTTTAAGGTTTCCTCACTCAGCGGTTTTTAAGAGCAAGCTTACGTACGGTAACAAAATTCAAACACAGTTAAATTCGACCTGCCATACTATTTCAGTTCGTAAACTATTGCAGATTATTGTGAACTTTGATGGTTTGACATTTATGACAGCTTTAGTCGTAGGGCCTTTCCTCACTAGCGGACAAAACTAAAATTGTTGCGACAAAATCAAACGACAAACTTTGTCACAACAAATCTTTGTTTCGTCTGTTACAACCGCATTAAAAATTTCAAAGCCGACAAATTCCGTCAGCGTCTGATCTGTTCATAGGACCGGCCAGCATAGTTGCCGAAGGATTCCACTTCCAATTTCCAGGATTTAGTAAACTGATTACAGTTCCATTACACGTTTGTCGTGGCTTGTAAGACAAACGATTGACAAGTTTATCACGGTTTTGTTTATTAAGTCGATTTTGCATAATTTTTACTCAGGACAAATTTTGTTGGCGGTGCGTCTGAAGATTTGTTCGCTTCGGCCAAATTCGACTTTAGAAGTGTGGGAAGAAACACGATCGTGTTCCTCCCTCACTTCTTTCGTACTCTAGCCTCTTCCTGCGCGCTTTACAAAAGAACAAAGTGTAGCCAAGGCTTCTCTATTTGTTAAGTATCAATCAATTTCAGTATCAGCACTGTCAAGGGACTGATCATGCGTGTTACTACAAATCTTTTGATCTAGCGTAGTCTGAGAAGAACGATCGCGTTTGTGAACAAAATTTACACTATAGCAATCCGATCAAGACTGTGTACATGTGGCTATCGCTATCAGTTGATTATACAGTGACTTTCGCTGGTAGCATTTTCATAATGGCGGAATTTTCAACAACTTCAACTTACTTGGTAAAAGACATGCAAATGTTTCTGGGAATTGTATAACCGGAAATAATAAATCAGGTTTCAGTTTAATGAGCACTTGTCGCTAAGCCAATCGTTGGAATCAGACAATAACACTCCTATTTCATTCCGCACTTCATTGTCTGTACGTTTCCTTGTAAAAGTAGAGTTTCTTTCGTGTGTACTACTGACTAGTGACTTGACAGCCAGGACACATTGCGCGACCGAAAAATGAAATACGATGCAACAAAGGTATACAGCCTAACACTGACCTTTCTTGATGCATCCCTATTAACCTATTTTGTCACGGCTGAAACACACATACTTTATTTGTTTCCTCCACTCAGTCTAGTCCTCTGACTGAATAACATTGATGATGAAAGGGCTTTGGTGAGCCAACTCGTGAAGAAAACTGTTTTATGTTAAACCCTAGTTCAGGAATATAAACAACTATGGGTCACCAGACAATAGCTGTTCTAAATATGCTCTTCTGCGACAAATCTCAATGATGCATATCTTCTCAATTGTTTTCTATTTCTTCACTTTCCTTCCCTTTATGCAAAATTATTGATATTTCAATGAGAAATGTCTAATGATAGGGCGAAAAATAGCAAAGGGAGACTTGACCTGTTACAGTAAACCACATTTTTGTTTTGTTAGAAAAAACATCATCAAAATGGTGATGCAGTCTGGCATATGGCCTTTTAAAGCGAAAAATAATATTTGCAGCCTTAATAATTTTTTTCTTTTTACAGAAAATATATTACCTAGGGACGTTGATATTGAGGTATGTATTTCATAGAAATAATATTTATAGTCATTTCTGTGATATACTGACAGACATCTGATATGGTACAGGCTGTGCAGAATCCATGTAAAATGCTACCGACCCTTACTGTCAATAATGATATAATTGTAAACATGTCACATCATATCATGATCAGTGCAGGATAATAGTCTTCCCCGGTGAAGTTTAAGCAACTTGTAAGTATAACATCGTGAAGGTATTTTCTTTGGGGATCAAAGTTTTAATACGATATTTGCTAAGGTTTTTTTTTAATTTACAGATTTTCTCCTTGCTTAGTGTATTTTCAAAGTCTGATGCCTCTACAAAGGCTTCCCAAAAGGGTTCTTTAATCTCGCGGTCCCTGCTAAAAGTTTCTCTCAAGGTTGCTGATCTTAAGGGAAAGTACAATTTGAAGCAAAAAAGGGAGGTTCCATGCTCTTTTATGAGCAGCAGGACCTTCTGGATATCCATATCATTCCAATTCATATCGTGACAGTTATATTTGTGAGAATTTGCTAAAATGGCATTTCTCAAATTCTTTCCTTTTCCTACACTAAGAATTGGTTTATAGTTGTTTGACAGAAAGAAAATGAGTTCCCAATTTCAGGAAGGAGAAAAATGGTACACTGTAGGTTCCCAAACTCATTCGCGAGAAAATGAAAATTTACTTCTATGGTGAGCTCCCATGGAAAAAAAAGGCACCATTCTTATGAAGCATACACCATGGTTACATGTGAAATTATACACAGTGAAAATGTGCAGTACTAAAGAATGACCCTAAGCAAAGTATTAACATGTAACTGAATTTACAATCTTTTTGCCAGGACAAAATAATTGGCCACCATTCTTAAGAAGTATGCACCATAGTTAAATGTAAAATTATACACAGTGAAAATGTGCAATACTAAGGAATGACCTTAGGCAAAGTATTAACATGTAATTGAATTTACAATCTTTTTGCTAGGTCAAAGCCTCCAGAATATCATACTGTCCATTTAATCAAAGTTTAATACAACTTCAGGCATCAATTCATTTCTGTATATAAGTAGCATTTATTTACTTTTGAAGAGAAAATTTTGAAGATATTGACCCTAAATCATATGCATATGCACCTTGCAATATATAGAAAACTGAAAATACATACTATGTGAAGAGAATGTGAAATTGCAACCAGCTGGCTGTGAACCCTTACCAAAACTAAATATTGGTCACATACAGTCCTTACATAATAACATATCCAACATATACTGTATATGTCACATGTATGTGCAATCATGTGACACTAATGTCACATAAATGCAACATTTATCATAGAAAGATATAACAGCTACACAAGTGTCGCACACACATAACATATATGTAGTTTTGGTGAGGGAATAAAGGAACTTAAACCTCTGCTTTAACATAGCACGGTTGTCAAAAAAATTTGCGGATCAGCTTCGAAAAGATAAAACCATGCACCTCAGTCCTTGTTTAAGACATTTTGAGTTCCTCAGAGGGGCGATTCGATTTGAGTCTCCGCACACAGCGGTTGGTCATTAGGTATAATATTTTTCTAAATGGTGACTAGAGGCCGTGCGAACGAAAATAAAGATAGTGCGTACGATGCAAGAAGATAGATAACACTTGGGATTGGACTCATAGTGTCGTTGGATCACGAACCGAAAACAAATAAAATACCACGCATTTAATTTAAAAGGGAATAACAAATGTGTTTTGTTGAACCCTAGTTAAGGAATACAAATAACTATGGGTCACCAGACGATAGCTGTTCCAAATGCGCTCTTCTGCGAGAAATCTCAGTAATGCATATCTTCACAATTGTTTTTTTTATTATTATTCATTTTCTTTCTCTTTTACGCATAAAATCAATCGACGAATAAACGTGACCCAAACTTCAATATCTTCGCTTTAACAATCGCAACTTGTGGTTTAACTTATTCGCAATCGAGTTGACCAACGAAAATCCAAAGAAACAATTTCAAAATCAAGGGAAAGCTGTCAAGCAATTTGTTAAATTGTACTATGTTCGTCCTTTTCCGGGACTTCTCTCTAGTTTTTTTTTCGTTAATTGAAAGAAAAATTTCGGAACAAGTACGCCGGCAAGTAGCAACAGAATAACCAAACAAAGGTTTGTAAACATGCTAAGCGCCGTAATTTACGTTACTATAAAGTAAGCAGAGACGAAAATCCAGAGACAAAACGAAATGGACAGTCCGAATATTAAAGGTTTTCAAGCTCAGTTAGATTGCAAGGTGATGTACGGTAATAAAAATCAAACTCAGCTAACACTCGTATAGCATACATAGTTTCATGTTCAAAAAAAATGCAGAACAACACAAGAATGATATGAAAAATATAGCCAAATTGGAAATGCATCTGAAGATTTGTCCGTCTCGGCCAAATTCGACTCAAGAAGTGGGGAGAAACACGATTGTGTTTCTTCCTACACATCTTTCGCGCTCTATCCTCTTCGTTGCGTGCTTTACAACAGAACAGAGTGTAGGCAAGGCTTCTCTATTTGTTAAGTATCATTTAATTTCGATATCAGTGCTGTTAAGAGACTGATCATGCGTGTTACCACAAATCTTTTGATCTGGCGTAGGCTAAGAAAAACGACCGCGTTTGTGAACAAAATTTGCGATATAACAACCACAAACTATTCTTACCTTGAAACCTCCGCTATAAACGTCTCCGATCAAGACTGTGTACAGGTAGCTATCGCTATCAATTGATTATACAGCGGACTTTCGCTGGTAGCATACTCAAAATGGCGGAATTTTCAACAACTCTAACATACTTGGTAAAAGACATGCAAATGTTTCTGGGAAATGTATTAATAATTAATCAGGTCTCAGATGAATGAGCCCTTGTCGCTGTGCTACTCGTTAGAATCAGACAGTGACACTTCGAGACACTCCTCAGGTATTTCATTCCGCTCTTCGTTGCCTGTACGTTTCCTTGTAAAAGTAAAGTTTCTTTCGATATTTTGGAAATGTTTCATCAGGGCACACAGAAAGAACTCGAGTTTTTAGAGTTTTAGGGTTTTTTTGGTGTACTACACTTGTGACTTGACAGCCAGGACGCATTGCGCGACCGAAAACAAATAAAATACGATGCAACAAAAGCAAGCAGCCTAACACTGACCTTTCTTGATGCATCCCTATAAACCTATTTTGTCACAGCTGAAACACGATCTTTATTTGTTTCCTCTTCTTAGTCTATTCCTCTGACTGAATAACACGGATGATCAAAGGGCTTCGGTGAGCCAACTCGTGAATTTAAAAGGGAATAAAACTGTTTTGTTGAACCCTAGTTCAGGAATACAAATAACTATGGGTCACCAGACAATGGCTGTTCCAAATGCGCTCTTCTGCGACAAATCTCAATAACGCATATCTTCACAATTGTTTTTTTTTATTTTAATTATTTTCTTTCTCTTTTATGCATAAATTATGGTATTTAAATGAGAAATGTCTAATGATAAGGTGAGAGTAGCAAAGAGAGACAACCTATCACGCAATATCACTATGACTGCCCTGAATGTCCATCATCGATGCCGTTGTGTCGCTGACATTGAAAGGATTTGAGTATTATGACGACGTCTATGCCATTTTATCCATGTGCCTGATCATGAGTACTTCTTTAACAATGCTGTTGGTGTATGCTCCAAAGGGGAGAATTTTATAGTTGTAAACCTATCATTTACACATGTGATTGTAGGGGTGTTAGGCATAACTGTACTTCATTAATCATACCTATCAAAAAGCGTCAGCAACTTCTAATTGTTTTGGGAGTTACCTTCCCTAGATGTTGGTTTATTCCCAAACAGGTTTTGCAGGTTCCCACTCACACCTTTGCTTGGGGAAAGTCGTAATACAAATAAACTTTCGTGCCCAAAATTGCAACGTTATGTTCTCTGGTGATCTCTAAGGTAGCCTTTTTAATCCAGATTTGTATCTGCGCTTTTTTAATCACGGAGAACTGAAGTGAGGAAATGATTGGCAGAAACTTAAGTCTAAACAACGGTCAGATTTTGTCCTTTGAGACATGGTAAAGAGGAGTTTGTCTCAACAAAAAAAATTACAACCTAGATAGTATCAGAAATAACGGAATTATTGAATGTACAACATGAACCACTGTTTTCCAGTGTTTTAAGGCTTTAAGCCTTTTCCTCCCATGAGTGACCAAGCGAGAATTTCTCCTTACAACATCAATACAATATCGAGCATAGAAGTGGTGAGAATAAAGGAAAATATCAATTAGGGGATTATTAGTTGATTCAATACCAAATTCTCCAAACTGACATTATAAGAATTGTATGTCAGACATTAAAGAGAATTACTAACGAGATCTTCGGAGTTAAAGGGTTAGGTAAAACATTGAGTGTGCTCGGCAATGTGCTTCAGTGCTACTTAAATATCTGGGTGGTTCAGTTGTCCAGTAAGATATAATAAAGATCTAACCAACTTTAATAGAGAAGGTGCGATCGAAGCCCTAACAACTGAAATGTCTTCTAAGGAAATTACAATCGAAAGCAAACGAGGTTTAAACCAGATGCACCGTATTCAATTCATCTTAATTGTCTCATTTTTTCCATTAAGATCTGATCAAATTTTTTCTCTTATTAAAGCAAACGAAGCCTTGTCCTTACCAGAGGAAACAAATCCCGAAGAAACGGATGAGACAATGGCAGTGGCACTGAACCCTTACACGTGCAAAGTCGTGATCAAACGTTTGAATGTTCCAGGGGCATCTAGCAGCTATTGAGATAAGGCAGACCTTTACGATAAAATTAAAGAGATTCGGCTTGAAATAATGTTCGCATACTTTTTTTTCCTTTTTTTTTTCCATTCCGTTATTTTCAACAACGTATGTATTCCTGTTAACTAACAATTAAAGAAAATAAAATTGAAAAAACTTTAGTTCCATAAGGACGCCTCACCTTCCTTTTTGATGTTACCGACTGTGGACCTTAACCTGCATGCAGTTGCCGAAATAATATTGCTTATGTCCAAGAAATATCAGTTTGTTATATTTAAAGTTTAGGCTGCAGAACACAGTAGATACGGCATAAGTAGATTGAAAAAGTCTTTAGACATAATAAATCTCAAATTTTACGATAGCCTTGCATTCGCTTTCTTTCATTCACTCTGATTTTTCTGTCAAGTTCCATATCGTGAAAATAAGTTTCATTGAAAGTTTCTTATGGTAAATGTCCTTGCTATTAGAGAAGAATGGGAAGCGAAGGTCTTTAGTCCAGGAACTCAAACTCAAGTTAAAGTATTTTTGTCAAGGCTCCTGATATGAAAGGGTGATGACACCTGACTATACTTACCCGCCTACAACGCTAACAGCCGTGTGCCAACGTGTAAACTTCATCTTTGCAAGTATCTCAGTTTTCAATGAGACAATACTGTGGATTTATCGAGACTTATTTTTCCCGAGATTTTCACTTTTTTAACACCTTGGCAATATCATTATAGAACCGCGGCTTCATAACAGAGAATTGGTTTCCTGTATAGCTTCATAAATGCGTCAGGTCTGCAACATTCGATTGAAAAAAGTGATATTAAGTACTTTAAACTATCAAATATATTGCAAAACTTAAGAAAGCTCTGAAAAAACTTGTTTTTTTATTTAGCTGTCGGTCACAATTTTATGCCAAAAAATAAACTCGAAGTGCAACTTTTTTGTTATGAATAGACATTAACTACCTATCCAGCTGTTCGCCTTATAAAGATTTTACTTCTCACTATTTGGTAGAAAGAAATTTTACCTACAACAACTATTCCGGAAAAACAGCATAACTGCCAATGATTGGGCTCCAACCAAACTACTCAATCTAAAGCCAAAGATGCTCAAAGGCTTTTCTAAAAGACAAAAGACACACACACAAAAGAAATAATGGCAAATCGATATTTTCTTTTCTTCCAGCTAAAAGCAGTAAGGAAGCCCTGATGAAATCATAAACCTCTACCATTTGTTTTTACCAAACATATTTTCCATGCTATAGAATAGTTCTATAGGCCGTTAGTTATGTCAAAACTTTCATTTATTTTTACGGAAACGTTTCGTTGACAAATATTCTACACCGTAAATTATCGTAGGCAATGAACCAAAGATGAACTTCCAATATCAAATGCATATTATTATCAGGCAAGCTGACTGTTTCAAGAACTTTGCCTTTTGCCAAGCATAATCGAGTGTAAGGGAACCTTTAGCTGCCAAGACATTTACGGGGTCTTTTCCTCGAGATTACACAAATTCTTTGACAAAAAGTGACTCAACTCGACATTTTTCTCAATTTCTTGATCGAATCACAAGATACATGAAAAAAATAACTCAGTTCTGATTGGTTAAGATAAATACAGTTTTCAGGTATCCAATCCAATGCAATTTTGTTAGTCTATAAAAAAATTCCCTCGTGCTTATATATTCCAAATTACACTCGAAATCATGTGATTACTTTTACAGATTAAGAAGGAAAAAAGCGCGTCAAATTTCTAATACAGTGCTGCGTCAAACCAACAGGAGGAAGAATGCATGTGCATTACGTATAGATATCACTTGTGATGCAAATGCGTAACATGCTGTATGCCTTCGACAACACTGCAATGGTACTGATAGAGCAACTCAGCGAATGTTTGGTACGTAAACCTCTTCTGGCGACTAGTATCTCGGCTGATCACTTCTGCGAATGAGCTAATGTCCGAAAATGGAGTTTTTTTGGTTGACAAGCGAAGCTTCGAGGGCGAACGGTAAAAATTTCAAGACAATCTTTCTCTCAAGGAAATTGTTACCTGAAATACCAGCATACCAGAAGTGGGTTTATTTAATTCACAACCCTCCCATTAATTTTCGTATCGCGCGTTGACAGCAAAAATTTTGTTGACTTTTTTTTACTTTCTGGACCAGCATTTAAGATCAGCTTTTTAATATCACTACCAGTGAACTCTACAAAATGTTCAGTAATAAAGATAAAAAAGTGAAACTCTAAACCGGCTTTTTCCCGCTGACTTTGTTTCTTTTCGACGGAAATAATCGGGGGACAAATATGAACATAAATGGTGGTTATTTTGTTAAAACTACCCGATGTACCACGTGTCGTAAAGTAACCAATAGAGTTGCACGAAAAGTGATGGGTGGGTTATAACTAGCGATATACTTTATCACTTGACGTTTTCATTCAAAACATAGAAAGATACCTGTGTATAATAGACAGAAAAACGATCCCATGAGGAAAAGGAAGATAATTGATTTAGTACTTCACTTCTAGTCGTATTGAGGATACATGTTCATTTGACAGTGGAATAATCAGTAAAAATAGAAATAAAAGCTATCTATGAGTCAACAAAGTAACAGTCATTCATGTTGTTGACGGCAAAGTTCCTCAGCTAAATCTGTGCGCTTAACAAATTTATGACACAATGCATCATGTAAGACCTTGTACGTTGCAGCTGAGCCATCCTTCTTTTTCCAATGTCGTAACATTTTGTAGATTTTTTTACGCTTTTTCTTATAGTCATCGTCAAACGCTGTTAATGTTGCATCGTCAATTCCGAGACGACGCCCGAGTTCCTCCCAATTTTCGAGTTTGTGCGAAAGCCACTCTAAATCTTCGTCACTGGGAACTCCTTGCTTGACTGAAAACATAAAAACATCAGAGAAAAGCATCAAGATGAGGGGATAGCGTGTAGAACGTATCGCAACTATTCATGCCATTTTGCTGCATCCACGCATTTTTATTTTACAAAGGCAGGGGGCGGGAAGATGGGGTGGGAGGTGGGAGTTAACAAGCATGCCTATAGATCTGTCCTCATTTTACCTGCGTCACTCGGAGATGGCTCTTCATTGCGGCCACCTGTATGACAACAAATGTAAAAAACAATCATTAGATCAGATTTTTTGAGCCAAAAGATTCATTGTAGCAATGGAGCTTTTCCTTTCCTAATAAAACGTCTCCTGAGGAATTTGTTTCAAGGACAGTTCGTGCCATTGCATTATGCATCCCTCCCGTGCATCATTTTACACGAAATATGCACGTCCACATACGCAAACGGATGATCTCTTGTTCTCTTTTTTCTGTTAGGAAGAAAAATTGTCATGCCCACGTAAACGGATTTGGTGACCTACCATTTATATGTCTTGTTTGCCATCGAGCGAAAAGCTTGAAAAAAATCATTTCCATACAATAAACAACTTGGGTTAAATAAAAGACATTCACTAGAAATGAAAACTTGCAAGGGCACTTGTGACACTTGCACGCTTGTATCGCATTCTTAACAAATGTTAAGGAAAGCTAATTGGAACAGATATCTTCGGTCAACAGATAAGCTTGTACACATCCTTGACGATTTTCCTTATCTGCGAAAAAGGTTTCAGGTCTTTCCGTCGTTTAAGGCCGTTTCATTTTACACGTGATAAGTAGGCCCACGTACACAAACTGAGTACATTTTTTTTTTCGAATTTGGTGACCTACCATTCAAGTGTCATTTTTAAAATTCGAGCAAAAAGCTTGGAAAAAACTATCCTTTCAGTTTAATAAATAGCCAGAGTAGAAAGACAAAGTCGTTAAAAGGAAGTTTGCAACGGTAACTGTGAGTATAAAAATAACAATTTTATATCAACAAATAACTGTCACAGAGAAACAAGGAGCTGGACCACGAGGTCATTTTCATGGAGTCTACTTTGTGCTTTCTGGTCTCCTTTTAAAATGTCATGCACCGCTTTCCCCACAAGAAGCGGTTGGTGACAATCGAACTCCTCTACTTTCACACAGTATTTCCTGTATCTCTACATTTTACTAGGCGGGAAAGTTGCTTTCCAGAAAACTGATATTGAATTAACTATTTATCGAAAAAATTTTTGCTGATGGAAAAAACTTACCAGTTAGTTTCTTACGTTCAATGGATTCCAAAGCCTAAAAGGCAGAAGGAAATAGTGGTAATCACACAAAATTTATTGATTAGAGAAAGATCATTGCAGCTAGGAGAACTTTTTAAGTATTTGTAAAAGATAAAGCCTGGACAATTCAGGTTTTGATGGTAATCGAATATCCTACGAAAGTGTTGCGTGCGACAGAGCTATCTATTATGTAAATTAAATTAAGTTTTTTTTTCTAACCTGAACCCAAGGATCCAGTTCTTCTGTAGGATAGTAGGGAACAGCATCAACAGAGTGTTCACAACTCAGGCCAAAGCTTTTTAATGGAATGTAGTGGCCACAGTCAAAATGAGAGCAGCCTTCCTCTTTGTGCAATATGCAAATATTGGTTCTGTCACGACACTTATCCGGACAAGGTTCACACAACTGGCATTTCACGAACAATTCCATCGTAACTGATCGTAGCCACGGACAGGTGATGCTTAGCCTAGTCCTGCAACGCTCCAGATGACTGCGATGAACAAACATAGCAACAAGGACATCAACAACGCGAATAACGCAAGCATGACTCATTGTATCGTACATTAAACTGAAGGCATCCCACCTAGTCGAAAAAATTGGCACCCAAAAAGGGTCCTAAATCCAAATGATCAGAACGATTTAAAAAGTCAAGAAAATTAAAGAAGACCTTTTAAGTTTCCCTTCATTTACGGCAACGTGACAGTATCTCATAAATTTCTTTGATTTCGGTGTTCCATTTAATATTGCTTTAACAGTAAATATTAAGTTTAAATGAAACGAAATAATGCCGCACATGTTTGTGGCTTACCTCAATAAATCTTCACAGATTCTTTTCTCTTCCATTTTATCCGAGTCTCGCGGTTTCCAGATTATCAACTTGATCACAGTTTTGTGACACTCTAAAGTGAGCTGGTACTCTTTACTGACATTGAATCGGGCGGCGTTTGAAAACAACGAGGGGGCTATACAGGAGCCACATAATTGTGAGGCCCATTCCCAAAAATGTACAACCAGTCTGCAAAACAGCCCACTTGGAACGTAGTTGGTGTTAAATGTGAGAAATACGGGCAAAGGGCCAGTGCGCATGTTTGTGCCTCTCGTATTCTTCTTTGGTGATTCCAACATACAAGGAACCAAATAAGGGTAATCTTCCCCCTTGCAGTTCTTAGAGTTGCATATAACATCAAAGCTTTCCATGATATGAATCAGTGAATTCCTAATATCATTCAATTGAAGGTGTTCAAACGCTCGATTTAGCAACTTCTTCGAAAGTAGTCCCTTTTTTCCAAGGACTTGGTAATCTTTCTGAATGACAGGGTGGTTTTTCCATGGTGGACTCACCGTAATTATCTCACATAGTATTTTAATTAACCACTGCGGATCCAGCACGACCAAACCATCTGGATTTTTAGGGATATCTTGGTAGATAACTCTTCCACGAGCTTGTAAAAAGTGTAGCAATTCTTCGACGTCATCTGTGTCATTAAACTGGCAAATGCCTCTAGAAATGTCCTCTGCAAAACGCTTTTTACCAACATAAAGCATCCCTTTTTTCACCATTTCGTCGACCTTTTGTTCCACACGGAGCCACTGCATAGGGATTACCTTGTTGATATGTGGCATTTTTCTAGCCAGATTCAATAATTCTGCACGCAAAGAAACGATCTGTGGGTCGTCTTCTCTGTTTGGATTTGTGTTATCTATGAAGAATGATTCTTTTGAAATATGGTCTAAGGTTGCTGGATGAGCCATGCTGCAAATGATTTCCTCCACAGATTCCATTTCCTTGCAAGGATCCTTTACACCATCAGCATGTGTACCCACGAGCACCACTGGAGGCAAAACTTGGTTAGTATCTGCCGACTTTCTTTGAAGCTCTGGCTGTCCCAAAGAGTGCACCAAGTCCAGCCATCTCATCATGTGATCGAGATTAGTGTCCTCGACGTAAGGCGAGTCTACCACTATTTCATCGTGATTAGGCGGTCTTATCCGACATTGGGCAGGAGCACTTAGCTCCATAGTTAGATCTGACACTAAGACATATATGGCTTCTTGCGATAGAAAAATTGGTTGAATGGCATGGTATACTGCCTGGCCGGCGAAATCCCAAACAAAAGGCCATATATCCTCATTGTCGGAGGTGTCGTTTCCCTTGAGGCCACGCTCTACGAGGGAAAGGACTTTCGTGGGTACTTCTTCTGGTTTTTGCTCACTTTCGACTTCCTGGAAAACTAATATTGACATTTTTTAATCAGTTATTACGTTTCTTAAACACGCTGTTCAAGTGCAAACAACATACAGAAGAATACCAGGTAAGCTTAGTATGATCCAGGACCGGTTGTTCAAAGCAATATTAATGCTAACATTAGTGACTGAATTTTTATTTTGTATATAAGAACTAAAAATATACAAAAGCTTCGCCTCACTCGAAATAAACACTCGTTCACTCCTTCAGCGACCAGTGCCAAAAAAAGCCTTCTAATATCGCATGGTTTCACGCGAGTGCATGGGCAGAAACCTTACGAGCTTAACGCATTCAAAATGACATGTTGACGTTACAAAACTGGCGCCATGGAAAGTGCTTATCCCTACACGTGGAAGGTCGAGGGATCGACTCCAGGCGCTAGCAATATCTTTTTTTCCGTCTTCCTTTTTGTTTCGCATTTCCCTATTGTTTTTTAATTGTATTCTACCTAAGCATTTGTTTTATTTTCTTTTCATCCAGAACATCACCTATTTCTGAGCCTCTCGTCTTCTTACCTTCTCCAGTTAACTGTTGAGCCCCATCTGATCGTTCTCTAAAGCTGCCGAGTAACTCCTTTGCGACCACTTCTGCGCACTTGTGGTCAAGTGCACTTGTGTCTTCAAGCAGTTCTGGATTCCTCCATGCCCCTTTTCCTGCGTTCTTGACAGGGGAAATCATTTCAATCCCATTAGTGCTGGCTTCATCTTTATCAAATGCTTCACCTCTGAGGTACCTTCTCAGACTTGTTTTGCCCACACGGTCCTGACCAATCAACACAATTTTGGTACGTCTATCGTAGGTTTTGCCTGTCTCCAGTGCTCTCCTGTACGCTTCTAGTGCCACCGGTCCCCTCGCCTGTATGTAGTCGGGGATTGGATCTGTAGCAGCTCAAAAAAGTTAAAAAACAAAACCCATTAATTTGCTCCCTCGAAAATCTAAACACATGCAGAATTAATTTTCAGTGAGCACATAAAAGTCATCTCATGTAGCAACTGTGAAAAGCCTAGTGTTACAAGGACTTCAAGAGATATTTCTCAGTAATTTCTCTTGGGACCTTAACCGCTTAGCTGCATTTTTATTTGATTTCCGAAAAAGTGTTTCTACAATCCCGCTCCAGAATAGACTCCTCCGAAAACCATGTAAAAATCCAACTAAGCAGTGAGTGGACTAGGCTACGACAAAACTGAGAAACGTTTCAAAGATAAGTTGCTTTAATGAATTTTGCGCTACCAGAAAACTACGTGAAAATTTACAAACGCAGAAATGATCTTCCTTCGTTTTGATTTCGTTACTGACTGAGACTAAATTTCTTCCCAACTCGAATTTACCCCAACGAAACATAAAGTATTGTCCAGGTTCATTAAATAATTTTGAATAATACAACATTAACAACAACATCAACAATTTCCATTTTATTTTTTTCCAATTTCAGGCCAATTTCATCATAAGCTATTATACATATAAGTTTTCCAAAACTTAAATTTTTTGTAATAACTCAGTTATGTGAAATGTCCATTTACATGTTCACGTTAGTGAAGAAAGGAGGGTGGGGGTGGGAAGAATATTTGGGGAGAATAATATCCAGGTGTATTAAAAAATAATTAATGATCATCTGTTTTACCTTCATAATGTGGCCTATCTTTAAAAACATGGTAACTCTTTAGAATGTTGTCAACGACAGAGGCTGCCATGCTCTTGGAAATGTTTTTCAGCTTTGGTTTGCTTCAGTTCCATCTGCATACCCTGAAATACCATTGATAACTAGGTGAGCCCACTCCACTTTAAGAATATGTGCTACAGAGACAATTCATTAAACTTTAACCAACAAAAATTCATCTATAAAACAACAAATTTGCTCCAACACAAATTGCAAATTCTTAAGGGTTTGCATCCATTTCTAACAGGAGTTTATTATAGGATTACTCTTAATACTCTTAAGAAATGTGAATCAAATGTAGCCATTTCAAAAGGCGTAGTTCTGTTTGGATTTTAATGCACCAATCAATTCCAAGCCTCAACATGCCCTAGTGAAACCCTGGGGTATTTTACCTTTGCCTGTGTCAGATGAAAAGTTCTACAAGATCTTGGTTTAAAAGCTTGGCTAATCAGCAGAAAGTCAAGATAGTGTTAAAAAACAAATACAGCCAATAGCATAAAAAATTGCATGGTTCATTGAAGTTTTTTTGCAAACAGGCTCCTTCCATACAAATATTACCAATCAGCGGTTGTTGTTATTGATTGTTTGAAAGAAACATTCCAACTGTAAGGAGACAAACCACTTAGATTGTCTCATGAATAAATGATCATTTTGAGTCAGTTTGAAGTTGTTACCATGCAATTTCACCACTGGAATCTCACATTTTATCCAAATTATGTGATTATTTCTAAAAAATTGGAGATAAGTCAGGACTTTAAGAAAATATTTTGTAATTTTAAGGGATGAAATGAGGTTTAAAGACACTTTTGAGAATGTACAGATAGATTTTTTAGGCCACCTTTTTAGGATTTTAGGCCTACACCAAGACTGTAACACAATGACTTTAGCCAAAGCTAGAGCCCAGACCTCTTTATCTTAACTCCAGAATGCTAGCAATCATCTGCCAGTGCATCTCTGTCACCAGTAGGAAAACTTACCCACCAAAATTTTTATTATAAAAGTATCAATTCTGTCTCCCCGGCTACAATGCCACCTCCATCTCTTTGAGCAGATTTAATTAAACATAAAAAAAAGGAAAAGATATCTTACCCATCTTTCTGATTGAATTGCAACTGCTCCAGGAAATGACCTCAAAAGTTTATCATGATTAATTGTTGGTGGACCAGCAATGTTCCTCAAAGTGCTTTCTTCTACTCTAACTTATAACAATGCCAATCAGCTTCTGTAAAAGAAAAAATACAGAGCAATTAATAAAATACATTGACTTTGAGCCATTCCATAGAACATAGAGCACTGAGATTGTTGTCAAACTGAATATTTTGGCTGTTGATCTTAAGGGAAAGTAAAAATATGAAATAAAAAAGGGAAGTCCCATGCTCTTTTATGAGCAGCAGTACCTTCTAGAAATTTATATCATTCCAATTCATATCATGACAGTTGCATTTGCGAGTATTTGCTAAATTGGCATTTCTGATTTTTTTTCCTTTTCCTTAACTAAAAATTGGTTTATAGTTGTTTGACAGAAAGAAAATAATTTCTCAATTTCAAGAAAGAGAAATAATGTTACACTGAAGGTCTCCCAGCTCATTTGTGAGAAAATGACAATTTATTCTCTGATTGGCTCTGATGGAGGAAAAAAGACACCATTCTTATGAAGAATGTACTATAGTTACATGTGAAATTATACACAGTGAAAATGTACAATGCAACACTAAGGAATGACCCTAAGCAAAGCATTAACATGTAATTGAATTTACAATTATTTTGCCTTGACAAAATAATTAGCCGCCAGAATATCATACTGCCCATTTAATCACAGTTTAAGACAACTGCAGGCATCAATTCATTACACTGTAAATAAGTAATATACTTCTGGAAAGAAAATTTTGAAGATATTGGCCTTAGGTCATATGCATATGCATCTTGCAATATATAGAAAACTGAAAATACATATTATGTGCACAGAATGTGAAATTGCAACCAGCTGGCTGTGAAACCTTACCAAAACTACATGAACATCACAAATATCCTCTACATAATTACATATCCAACATATACTGTATGTCACATCACATATGTGACTCACATACATGCGCAATCATGTCACAATCTTCACATTTCTGTCACATAAATGTAATATTTGTCGTATATATATATACATATATGCAACAGATACATTAGTGTCACAGCTTGGTGGTAAGAAAATTTGCAGATCAGCTTCAAAAAAATTAAACCACCTCAGTCCTGGTTTAGGACATTTTAAGTTTCTCAGAAGGGCAATTTGATTTGAGTCTCTGCAAACAGAGGTTGGTCATTAAGTATGATTTTTCAAAATGATGACTAAAGGCCAAGCAAACGAAAATAAAGAAGGTGCCTATGATGCAGGAAAATAGGTAATATATAGATTGGACTCATAGTATCTTTGGATCATGAACCCTGCATGTAACATAAATTTGAAGTTATCGCCAGACCTAACAAATAATCAATTGACAAATAAATGTGATCCAAACTTTAAAATCTTAGCTATAACAATCCCAACTTGCGGCTTAAGTTATTTGCAATAGAGTTGACCAACAAGAATCCATAGAAACAAATAAAAAACCAAGTGAGGGAGTGAAAGAGTATTGAAATAAGTCACAGTTTACCTCTGAGTCTGAACATCTCCCAGATATCAATTGTATCAAGCAGAACTCGATTATTTGTATGAAAACAAATATGTATAATGAAAATGGCGCACTTTTAATATGTACACATTAAATTATATTATATAGTATTACATAATGTAATAATATATTATATAATGCGTGCTGTCATTGGTTGAAAGAGCATGCACTATTGGAGTACAAAGCATAGAGCTAAACTAAAGCTGTCACACTATCTGCCAAATTTACTACAGAATGTTTAACCTTTTGCAGGACTTCTCTCCAGTTTTTTTTCATTAACTGAAAGAGAAATTTCGGTAAGCAAGGCAGCAAGTACTATAGAATGTAAGAACCAAACAAGGGTTTGTAAACATAACAAGTGCCATAGTTTATGTTATTAAGGTTTTCTCTGTCAGTTAGATTGCAATCTTATTTACAGTAATAAAAATCAAACACATTTAAATTCCGCCACCTGAGTTATTTCAGTTTGTAAACAATTGCAGATTAATGTGAATTTTGATGGTTTGACATTTCAGACAGCCTCAGTCTTAGGGCCTTTCACACTAGCAGACAAAACTAGAATTGCCTCGACAAAATTAAAGGACAAATTTTTGTTTTGTCTGTTGCATTCACATTTAAAAACTTCAAAGCCCACAAATTCTGTCAGCACCTGATCTGTTCATAAGACCAGCCAGCATAGTTGCCAAAGGATTCCACTTTCAATTTCCAGGATTTAATAAACTGATAACGGTTCGATTACACGCTTGTTGTAGCTTATACAACAAATGATTGAGAACTTTATCATGGTTTTGTTTACTAGGTAGATTTTTTTACCCAGGACAAATTTTATTGGCTTGCATTTGAAGATTTGTCCGCTTCAGCCAAATTCGACTAAAGAAGTAGGGAGAAACACGATCGTGTTTCTGACTACACATCTACTTACCTACACATCTTAGTGGAGGGCGACAGGGAGATAACATGACACATAACAGTTTTATTTATTAAAACGATTTTGCCTTACTTTTACCCGGAATAAATTTTGTTGGCGATGCGTCTTTCAAAGACTTGTCCGCTTCGGCCAAATTCGACTCTAGAAGTGGAGAGAAACACGATCGTGTTTCTGCTTACACTTCTTTCGTGCTCTAGCCGCTTCCTTCGTACTTTACAACAGAAAAAAAGCATAGTCAAGGCTTCTTTATTTGCTAAGTATCATTTACTTTCGATATCAGTACTGTTAAAGGACTGATCATGAGTGTTACCACAAATCTTTTGATCTGGCGTAGTCTAAGAAGAAAGAACGATCGCGTTTGTGAACAAAATTTATCCTGTAGCAACAACAAACTATTCTTACCTTGAAACTTCCGCTATAAACGTCTCTCATCAATATTTTACACAAGTAGCTATCGCTATCAATTGATTATACAGAAGCCTGCAGTGCAGCTAACGTTATAAGCTCGAGATCATTTCTCCGACCGGCCATGTTTTATTTGGAGTCAAAGTGGACGATTGATTGGTAGGGGGCGGGGGAAAGGCGACCTCTTCACTTCCCTACCTCCACCTCTCTCCTTATTTTTGACCGTCGACCGCCCCCTTGGTGCAAATTGCTTTCTCTCCCCAGCCTTTCGCTTTCATTAAAAATCAAAGATGGCGGGCATAGTTTTCGTTAAGAAGTTACTGAGCACTCGCTCGCCAAAATTACGCTTGCTCTGCAGGCTGATTGTATTTTTCAACAAATTCAACGTACTTGGTAAAAGACATGCAAATGTTTTGGAAATTGTGTCAATAATCAATCAGGTTTCGGTCGAAGAAGCACTTGTCGCCAAGCTCCTCGTTGGAATCAGACAGTGACACTCCTATTTCATTCCGCTCTTCGTTGTCTGTACGTTTCCTTGTAAAAGTAAAGTTTCTTTCGATGTTCTGGAGATGTGTCATCAGGGCACACTGAAAGAACTCGAGTTTGTAGAGTTTTAGGTTTTTTAATACACCACACTTGTGACTTGACAGCCAGGACGCATTGCGCGACCGAAAAGAATACGATGCAACAAAGGTATATAGCCTAACACTGACCTTTTTGATGCATCTATATAAACCTATTTTGTCACAGCTGAAACATACATACTTTATTTATTTCCTATTCTCAGTCTAGTCCGCTGACTGAATAACACTGATGATCAAAGAACTCGGTGGGCCAACTAGTGAATTTAAAAGGAAATAAAACTGTTTTATGTTAAACCCTAGTTCAGGAATCTGTTCCAAATGTGCTCTGCTGCGACAAATCTCAATGATGCACTTTCTTCAAAGTGTGTTACTCTTCCTCCTGCCTGAAAGGTATCTAGCTTGGTAATCTGGGCTCTCAAAAACACTTGATTGACCCTAACCTCTCTGTTTCTTCAGCCTCAGCTTCTCTCGCTGCTCTCTCGAAAGAGATACCTTCATAATACTTCCTCCTTGTCCTAAGTTGAGCAGGATGTTCCTTCATCTCTTTAAAATGTCACTTTCAGTGTAATGAAACGCAGATCAATGTCAGTATCTGAACAACTACGCACCTACTCCTACACTAAAACAACATTAACCGGCCTTACTTGTCATCAGTTGACTGTTTTTGAGTTTGTTGAGGGGTAGGTGCAGTTGCTCAGATACTGACATTGATTCTGCAACGCTTCTCATGTTACCTTTTTTCATTCCTAAAACATTTCTCAACGTCCGCTAAACTAGAAATTGCATAATGAAATTGCTTTAAATAATGGTAAAAAATAAACGGTCGTGGGCCGTGGTATGTCGTTTCTTTTCTTGTTCCTTTCAGCAGTAAATCTATGCAGTATGCAAACTGAACCTTTTCCTTAAACCGCGATAATGGTCAGGTGAAGGAGTTAGAGCGAACAGTATAAAACAGAAAGATCATCGTACGCTGAACAAAAAAAAAACTATCCATACCAACTCATAGATGTAAGCCAAGTTTGAGCATAAGTTCTTGTCTCCTTTGGCCTATTGCCTGAAGTCGCTCTCAAGTTTCTGATAAAGAGACCTCACCTTGTTATCATCCAAGCATTGTACCAATGCACTTGAAGATACAAAGCGTATCTTTTTTTTGCGGTCGTGTTTACATATCAAGGGTCGTTGCTGTTGTTTGGGATTTTTCGGTTTGGGAAAGTACATCAGAATGTCGGCCATTCTATCCATGTGCCTGATCATGAGTACTTCTTTGACGATGCTGTTAGTGTTTGCTCCAAAGGTGAGAATTTTTTGTTTGGAAACCTATCATTTACACTTGTGATTATAGGAGTGTTTGGCTTAACTGTATTTCATTCATCATATCCTATCAAAAGGCGTTAGCAATTTTTGATTGTTCTGAGAGTTACCCTCCTAGATGTTAATTTATTCCCAAAAAGGTTTCGCTGGTTTCCACTCATACCCTTTCATGGAGAAAGTCGTAATAAGAATAAACTTTCGTGCCCAAAATTGCAAAAGTTATGTTCTCTGGTGATCTCTAAGGTAGCCTTTTCAACCCAGATTTGTAACTGCGCTGTTTTAACCACGAGAACTGAAGTGAGGAAATGATTGGCAGAATCAAAAGTCTGAACAACAGTCAGATTTTGTCCTTTATGACATTGTAAAAGAGGTGTGTCTCTCAAAAAAAAACACATCGTAAATAGTATCCGAAACAAAGAGTTATTTAATAAAAAGATTCATGCGTTTGTTGCAGATTGCAGATTTACCAGTTTTTTTACCTGCTTCCTTCAAAGTTTTTCATGTCTCACTGTTTTCCAGTGCTTAAAGACTTTCACCCTTTAGTTCCGAAGAAACAGATAAGGCAATGGCAGTGGCACTGGACTCCTATACGTGCGAGGTCGTGATCAAACGTTTGAATGTGTCAGGGGCATCTGGCAGCTGTTGAGGTTAAAGGAGGTAAAGCAAAAATCTAGAATTTCATCCTTCATATTGGCTAGGAATTTCTTTGTCAATTCAAGGCAGCCCTTTATAATAAACTTTGAGAGCTTCGGCTTGAAATGATGTTCGCATTCTTTTATGAGATGTTTGCCTCCAAAGGCTAGTCACAAATGATACCCTGTCTAAAGTGGACCCTGACGCGAGTGCTGAATTTTCTCGAGTTTTTCTTTTAAAGTAAATTGCATTCACATATCGCTTATTAAGGTATGTTTACCTCAATCAATAGGTTCCAGATTACTCACCTCGTTCTATTTAAGGTTCAGCAATGAATTAACCTTAAGAAAATGAACACCGATACAGGTTTCACCGTATTCGATTGTGGAAATTATTGTGTAAATTCATAAAGATGACCATTCAGCTGACATTACTGAAGGCGAATCATCAGAGCTATACCTTCTAAACTATGAAGAGAGTAGGAGTTTCTCTCCAGGATCGCATTCTCAAAAAGATTTGATCGCCCACAGCATTAATAACTTCTTCTTCTTCTTTTGTTCTTAACACAGGCGTGGAGCCCATGACCCCAGATAAGTTACCATTTGCGCCTGCAATGACTTTTATTAACTGTTTATTTAATGTTTATCAGCCGTGAAGTTTCCTTAGAGTTAAAAGCATCTGTTAAGCCTTTTCTTTTTTGTAATTCAAAGCTATTAGATTCACCAATCGGGTCATTGTACTTGATAATTAGTAGTAAAGATTACGCGCTTAAAGCATTTTTCCATAAGTTACGTTACATACTGTATGTCTAAATTGTCGCACCGGATCGATCGATTGATTAAATGATTGGTAGCTCGGTGGTTTATCGACAGATTGTTTCCTTCCCTGCTTGATTGATATGTTGATTCATGAATTGACCAAAATTATACCTCTGCTAACGTTCTATTGATATACACTTAAGGAAGAGTTCACGTGCGAAACACTGATGGTATAAAGTCCCACTCTTCATTTAAGAGGTTAAAAAGTAACACGAGTGGCTCTCTGTAAGAACCTTGTGGTTTCTGGCAACCTCTCAACCGAATATATCAAATATCATGATTCGTTTTAGTCTAACCAATATACTCTCTCTAGACATTCTTTTCAGCTTATTTACCAGTTTTATTCAGTATTTAATAATAATAATTTACCAATTTATATAGCGCGTATTTTCATGTGCTGATCAATAGCGCTTTACAATCATATGTTTAAAAGAAAACGAAAATACATTACCGTGAGAATAAAATAAACTAAGTTACAAAAGATAGGTTTTAAGTCGAGATTTAAAACTGTTAAGTGATGTTGCTTGACAAAGCTCCACAGGTAGCTCATTCCAGAGTTTCGGAGCTGCTGCTGAGAATGATCTTGCTCCCAATGTTGTAAGCATCTTTCCCTTGGGATGGTCCAATAAGAGCTTACCAGTAGACCTAAGATTATATAATGAATTCGATTTTATACTAATAAGATCGCTAAGATAAGTTGGCGCTAGGTCATAAATACATTTGAAAGTCAAAAGTAAAATCTTATAGTCAATACGCAAAGAAACTGGCAGCCAGTGCAGCTCATAAAGCGCCGGTGTAATGTGAGAAAACTTTCCAAAGCCAAGAATAAGTCTTGCTGCTGCATTTTGTACACGCTGTAATTTAGCGATCTGCACATTTGGTAAGCCAAACAATAAACCATTACAATAGTCAAGACGGCTGGTTATAAAAGCATGAGCCAAAGTAATTAAAGAATCTCTCGACAGGTATTTCTTAATACGTCTCAAGTTATGTAAATGATAAAATGCCGCATTACAAGCCTTGTTTATATGATCAGTCATGCTTAAGTTGCTGTCAAACCAGGATCCAAGATTTCTAACACATGGGCTAGGACTGATACGATTATTGCCCACAGTTATGGAACACGAATCTAATTTATCAAGCTGTTGTCGTGTGCCGACTAACAAAAACTCCGTTTTATCATCATTGATCATCAACCGATCTTGAATCATCCATTTCCTCACCGCGTCAATGCACTTTTCCATAGCTTGTATAGCATCAGCTTGAGCAGTGTTGCCGAGTGGTTTAAAACTCAGATACAGCTGCGTATCGTCAGCGAAACAGTGAGCATCAGGAAGATAATGTTCCACGATCTTAAACAGCTTGGACGCAGATATTATGAATAGCAAAGGCCTAAACATGAGCCTTGGGTACCCCGCAGTTCAAGGCAAAGGGACGAGAAAGAACTCCATGTACAGAAACGCGCTGACTTCTATCAGACAAGTACGATCTAAACCAATTCAGAGCAGACCCACGTATGCCAACCTCGTCAGATAGCCTCTCTAAAAGTATTCGATGATCAACAGTGTCAAAAACAGCACTGAGATCCAATAAAATTAACATAGTGACATGTTGAGAGTTCATCTTTAACAAAATATCGTTCATCACCTTGATAAGTACAGTTTCAGTGCTATGGAATCGCCTGTAAGAAGATTGAA